CATGATCAAGTACGGGCGGTGGAGATGATGTAGCAGTTGCTGGTGGAAGAGCTGGGGAAGATAGAGATGAAGTTGATAGCGGTGAAGGAGAAGCAGCTGCAATAAATGCAGTACTGGTTGTTGGATGCTCTCCAACCAAAGACAGCAGGGACTCGGTACTCAGCCCCGCAGTACCGGGCACAACAATTGGGCCTGGAAACGGGAGTTGGCATTTTCTACCAAATCAAACTCCCCCCAAAGTGCCGAGACGTCGTCCTCGGTTGGTGTAACTAACTCAACAAATTAAACAATCTGTTGAGTTGATGAGGATCGTCACCTTCTATGTAGAGAAGCTCCATCATCACTAGCTTCTCCATCATCATCGATCATCACGGTGTCTATGACTGGCCCGGGAGGAGGGCTAGTCATCACAACTTCCGGAGACGACTCGGGGACAAGAGTCTTCACCCTCTTATTCTTATCCCCAACCGCAAAAGAACGCCTTCTTTTTGGTTGCTTGTTCTTCGGCCGGGTACTCCGAAATGAAACATATGCGCCCGAAGCAGGCCCGGAGAGACCTGTTCGAGTGAGCGCCGCTCGAAGCAGCCTCGCCGCTTTAGGAAGATCATCCAAAATATCCTCCTCGGGAATATCAACTGAGCCCGCGGGTAGACCTAATTTCAAAGAAAAGATATAAGGGATCAATCAATTTCCTCACATAAAAAGCTGAAACAAGGTTAGTCTAGATTACCATGATTTTTGGCCTTCCACCCGTATTTGATGGACAGTTCTTTCCACGTATGGTTCTCGGGCGTAATGACGTCCAAGATTTTTTGGACCCACTGGCCCAAGCCTTCAACCATAGCCGGAACCTATCGAGTTGCTGAAACAAGCGTAGAATGAAGGATCAATACAGATATGGAAGAATCCCTAATCAACTAAATATTAAACAAAAAGCTTACGAGTGCGGTTCCACACGGCTGGAAAGGATGAAGCCGTTTCCGGAATGATGTCATTGGTAGCAACTACAACAAACCGCTCCATCCACCCATGGTCGTTGTCCTCAGCCATGCTAGATGACAGGGCATGATGGCCGTATTTGCTGAAATTTATCATTCCCCCACGGAAGATTTTGGGGGAATAGAGATTCATCACATGAGCTAAAGATAGCTCCTCCCGTTTCCTGGCACAGACGCCGAAGACAAGCAATCGTCCTCCATACAAAAGGACTTACTTGTGCCAAACACACTTGGTAGCGGAGGCAGAACTCCGCAATGACAGAGTCAAGCTCTCCACTTAAGGAAAACGCACCCAAAGTAAAGGGATACGTGTAAAAGTATGTAAAAACCTTCTTGAGAAGGGTCACTCGCTCCGTTAGATTAGGAGCAATAATATCCAAACCATGAAGCGGCAGTCTTCCTTCACAATAGGAATACTGGAAGGACGAATGGAAGAAGGGTACCTGCCAACAGCCCACGTGCGAGGGAGAGCCGAAGGGAGTTTCTCTTCGAAGTCTTTTGTTGTTACAAGACTTCTAAGAATGATAGAATCCACTGTTGGAGGAACAACGTTGTCAGCTTTGCTCTTACCCTTTGAAGAGCTAACGTTCTTTGAAGAAGAAGCCATTGGGATGAAAGAAAAATTTCTCGTATTAAAGGGAGTTGCATAAAAGATTAATTAACAACAAGGAAGATTTCAGAAAGTTTTGGAAAGTTATGAAGTATAAGGGGAGAAGATAAATGCGTATAAGAAAAAGTTTTGGCGGCTAAATTCATGGCCATGATTACCTCGATAACCAAGAAAAGGTATGCTTAATCGTGGGATGATGCGTGTTCGGGGCATTAAGTTCGGAGAGACGTGCGTCTAATCAACCGTCAAAAGCCTTCAGAAAGAATCATAGCAATTCTCGCCAAAAGAATGTTTCTACCAACTTCCCGGTGACACAAAGTTATGTCACCGGAAAGCAGGGGGACTATCTGTATAGGGTAAAATATACAATGCTACGTGGCCGCTCAAAAGGACACGTGGAACCTAAGGTGGGGGATGACCAGAACCGAAGGCAATTGTCCCATCTGTCACCAGAGAGAATAACGCTCATGAGGATGCAATGAATACACTTTGCCCGGTAGCATTTAGTGGAGAATATTCCACAGCATTAAGTACTATTGCCCGTTACAAGGAATTTGGCATTTATACTCACCGTTACATCTTCATCAATGACCCTCATAATTGACATTAAATAGAGGCACGATCCTAGGACTTCCTTCCCTAGACGTAGCTATAAATAGTGAGCTCAGTTATCATTGTAAAGGACACGAATTATCTGACAAACTTACGTTATATTCAATCCAAAGATTAATACAATTTTATCTTCTTGCTTTTTGATTTCATTGTTGTTGTGCCAGGAAGCCCTGCTCCTGGTACCACTGTTTCTGCTATTTTGTCTCCATCTCAAGGCTAAGTGTTGCATATTTCTTCAATTATCTTATTATTTCAGGATCAAATTAGTTCACTTGTCTAAAATTCACATATAAATTCAACTGTACCGATTTATTGGTAAACAAACTCTTGTAATGATTCTCCAATTTGAGAACAAAGAGTTCCACATTCAATTCTTTAAATAAATCTCCAATGCCTCAAATTTTAACTACGTTGCCATGCATAACTAAGTTTTACTTCTTTATTTTGCTCTAAATTTCATCTTCAAAGTACCTACATTATTCATTAACACCCAAAATAAATATAAAGCTCATATTCAAGCTAAGTTGGGCATATGCAATATCAAATATAACCAAAAAGCGATAAAAATGCGAGTAAATTAATGTCGAAACATATAAAAATATGTCCAATATCACCACCCGAAACTCAAACCTTTGTTCATTCTCGAACAAAACACAATTATAATAGATGAAACAAAATTAAGCTCCTACCAATCAAATCACACTATACCTATGACTATGGTTGATTCAATAATTAAGCTTTAGCATATTCATTCAACACACACTTCCCTTTACTAATGCCATACTTCAAAATATTCACGACAAAGATCACATGCTCATAACAATCTTAACCTCAAAAACCGACTCGGCGTCACAATGCACTCATGACATGAACACCCACATCATAGAGAAGTCTAATAACGTTACCTATCCCTCGTGAAACCATGTGCTCTCAATAAGAACAAGAGAGTAAATTGAATCCACACATTCGAATCAAATGCCCAAATATATTTTAAGGACTCACATATATCAAAGAAATAAATGCTCACTCTCACAAAGAAGTCACCTGCATGCACTTGGTCCATAGTCTTGCCCTAATGTAAACCTTTACTAATGTAGGCTCGTTCGATTTAAAATCAATTAGGACTTTTTCATGGTTGTAATGTGGGTTAAGGAACGGGTATGATATATTTCGGAATAGTGGCTAACCCTCCTAAGCACTTTAACATATCACATATGTTATACCTCCACCGGCTATCTTTAGTTTAAGCGGTTGGATGTGCAGCTATTTTGTCTTAGTTTAACTTGTCATAAACTTTAATAAAGAAGGAAAGACTTTTGATATATGTGGTCTTAAATAAGCCATAGCATTGCGTGGTTGTAAAACTTTTGAAATTGGGGTCTGAAATATATCGTTGTGTGACTATAAATGCTTCTTATTAAGGAAATATTGAAAGGTGCCGATCTTTTTTATTGATACGACGTCCATAAGTATTTCTCGAAATTCCGCGAGGTCCTTGGCAACAGAATCCGTCACCTTGGCAGCAGAATCCTTCATCTCCCTAATGGATGAAAGATCTTTGGATAAAAGCACCACTGAAACAACTCAATTAACACACCCAAATTGACTGATAGTATGGATTCAACCAAATGGAATTACAATAGCCAAAATAGCAATGGAATAGTGGAAGATAAGTGAAAGGGAAAACAGAGAGGGGATGAGGAGAGAATGCAGAGAATGATAGATGAGAAAGCAGAAACTTAGTGCAACCAAAATAGCCTAATTCTTTTATGTCCATGACAACTACTTAAAACCAATTCCACTATATTCACATGCTATCCACACACGCCTTGCCCTTCACGTAACAAAATCAACGAGCCTTCTCCTTCGCAGCTGAGTGTCATTATTGTTATGTACCTATTTTCTTTGTGATTTTGTGGTTAGCCTTTGAGTGCACGAACCTTTTATTGAGTAATATGGGGGTGTTCATCGGTCAGTACGGTAGGGTATTTAGATATTTCGGTTCGGTATTTTCGGTATTCGGTTCTTAAAATGCTATACCAATACCCTACCTAATTAAATTCGTATGGTTCGGTTTTTCTCTTTTCGATTTTTATTCGGTTCGATAACTTCGGTTTATTCAATTTGAATACTAACTATAATATTCTTAATTTAAGTACTCAAATGTACACAACTAAAACCAACAAATAGTAACCCAGAGAGAGAAAATTTTAAATAAAGGAATAAATTTGATCATTAGAAATATTTGTTACTTGCTTAGAGTTAATTGATGAACTTAGAGAATAAAGGAAAATAAAAGTTTAGATTTTTTATATTTATGTTATAATTAATAATATGTATTGTGTAATATAATATATATTTTGGTACGGTATCAGAATTTCGGTATTTTATTTTAAATTACTAAATATCATACCTAATACCAATTTTCTTTTAAAAAAAAAAAACTTAAACCAAATACCATACCGAATACCAAAATTTTCGATTCCGGCATGGTAATTTGGTATTTACCAAATTATGCACAGCCCTAGAGTAACATCTCAAAGTAAGCTGTAGAAAATATTTATTGAGTACACTGTAAATATTTTCAATATAAAACCGGCCAAGTTTTCACTTTAATATGTAATTATGTAGAAAATATTCACAGGAAAATATTGCACATACTCGCAGGACAATTTATGCTTAAAACAGATGACTTAACTTTTTTAATAAAGCTAACAGTTTTTGCCTAGATGGAGTGCACTAACCTTTTCTGATAATAAATTTGGGTGCAAAGTAACATATCAGGAAAAAAAAGAAGATGAATTTAAACAATAATTCCATTATTTTTGAACAGCTAGAAAGAAAGACTGTACTTTAAAATAATACAACAACAGAAAGAGAAGTAAAGGATGAATGCTTCCAGCACTCTTTTTTCATTTTCCACCAAATGCTTTGAAAATATCAGCTGTGGTCCAGTGTATCAAGTTTTGTGAGAATTAGTGGATGAGAGGATGGAACACCTAATAATTACATGTGTTTTTCACAACTATGGAAATGTCACAAAGGTGACTCCTTCCATTCTAGTCTGTCAAGTCCATCAACTATTGCCCTGCGGAATGCACCATTGTGGAGAAGGAAAGACGATACGTGTCCTCCTCTAACCCATCGAACTTCTGAGCCAGGCCAAGCTTTTTCAAGCTGTAGCACCGAGTGCTTTGGAATATAGCCATCATCCTGAAATAAGAAGGGTTAATGATATTCCATGTGGTTAAGAACCCTACAAGCAAGAAACTAAAAGAGAGCTATCCGCAACATTTTGATAAAGCAACGAAAGTGTGCATGCTTTGCTCTCGTACGTAAAAGTTTACTGGATGTTACACATAAACTTCCAGCAGTAGGTTTACATGTATTAAACAACTTCAGTTTTCTTTTCTTCTCTTCTCTTTTTCAACTATTATATGGCTTATGTAATCAGCTCTGCATTACCTCCAAAGTTTCCTTCCTAAATCTATTAGTTGTCAGGTAAGTTTTTTTTCTGGACAAGATAACGTAAAGGATTAACGATCCACGGTTTTCATATCTGTTCTTCAGTCAGAGCAGTGTGTGTGATTAATGTCATAATAACAAATTTAGAGTGGCATCCTAGATACACTTTTCTGCTTCATAGGGCACAGCTCTTTCAAGATAGGAAAGCAGTTCTAGACTTGTAACATTATGCCCTCCACATGCAATCGAGGAAACAAGGGCTCAACGGGCTTTCCCAACATGGCAAGCACCACCGCACAACACCACAAAATCAAATGATTAGTGAGTCCAAGCTAAAATTGTGTGCATGGATAGTGGTTTAAAGCAAAAGCCGGTAAGGTAGTTCGGGAAGGAGCCATATGAGATGGAAGTCTCAACTGTTGCATATGGAGCATTAATGAAACACCACAATTCATCTTTTCTTTGGGCCATCTTAGACTCTACCATTATCATATGCTAAGTTGCTCGGACTCTTCACTTTTGGTGCCGCACCCGTGTCGACATGACGTGGGTGTGGGATCCGTACCGGATCTGGTCAACCGATTTTGGGTACTTTGACCAAAATCGACGGAAAAATTCGGGATAGATACAATGATTTTTGTAAGCAAAACAAAAGTTAGGGTAAGATTGAAGAAAATGGAATACCGTGGATATAGAAATTTCTATGTTAGTCCTTTTCCTTTTATCGCTTTCTCGGATTCTCCTCTTGATCAATATAATCTTTCCTTCTCAGAATCCCTCGTAAGTTTTCCACACAATGTCTCATAATTTAGATGTATTTTTATAACTCTATTTTTAGATATTTGAATTATTTTTAGCCAAATCCTCACCCGCATCTATACTTGGATCCATACCCCCAAATCTTAAATTTTTGATCATGACGGATCTGACCTCTAGATCCGCACCCGTATCGGACACCCGCACCCGAGTCCGAGCAACTTAGATCATGGGGTATAGTGTTCAAGGCAAAGAAAGATCAAGGCAACATATTAGGAGTACATTCTTTCTTTACATTAAGAAAAGTCAAAAACTGTCACTATCCGGAAACAAGCTGATATATTTTCTAGATCAAACTGTTGTGCAGAAAAAAATTAAGGTACTAAAAAACAACTCCGCCACCACCACTCAGACAAATGGAACAATGTGGATTAAAAAAAATAATTAGTTCAATATTAGTTCTGCTAAAATTTCAAAACCAAGTCGGTACTTTTGCTACTAAATACGGATTAGTTTGGTCACCAACATGAGATAAATAAGTATCGAATAGACATTTTATTGCCAGGAATAAACATGCTTGATATGGAATATGCATTAGTTGGAGTCATGAGGAGAAACCAAAATGCTTCCAGACCCTCTCAAGTAAAATATACCATGCAAAAAGTAAGATCTACCACTACCGATAAAAAAAAAGTGAGATTCAGCACTTACTGTGGCAGCAACAAATATTACAGCATTGGGATTTTTTGGGATTGGAAACCGTGTAACATCTGTAAGAGACAACACATTTCGCATCCGCTCTCTCACTTCCTCAAGTGTCATAGCAGCCTCCTGCACGGCAAGATCATCTCTCAGTGCTTCCCATGCAGTGGCATGTTTTAACACCCCTTCACAGAATGCCACAACAGCAGAATGTGGAGACAAAAAGGGAAGTGTAGCAATAGGTGTGGGGTGCAATGCTCCAACCATAGCAGCATGTACTCCTCCTAGATATCATCAAATAAACCAAAATTTTTGGCGAAAGAAAAAATTCTTATAAAGACGTGAAGTTTATGCATGCTCTGAACCATATGTATTAGCAAGTACTTTATACACGTGCACAATGGTCAGATACACATGTTGATATCCCATCTGTAATCTCTTTTATCAGATAATAGTGTAGATCTAAAAGTAGAGGAACCCTGAAAAACATGAGGAGAAAGGCAGAAGATTATACACCTTTGTTTTTATCATTAACAGAAGGTCATACAGCATAACATGCAATTACCCAAAAACAGGTTCTTTCTTACTCTTCCTCCAATGATTGCATCGCCCACTCTACCCGTCTCCTCAACAACAACTCTCTCTGCCAGCTTTAATTTACCAAGTATCTTTAAATTTTTTCCCAGCATACACAAAGTTCTAGACTTTTTCTACTAGGATCAGTTTCAACTGTTCGAAATCATTGCATATACTAACCATTAATCACTCTTTCGCAATAGATGCACACGTAAAATTCAATCCACTAGAGATTCGTTCTTATCTATCTCCACACCATCACACACACTAAACCAAGATAATATTTTTCAAACTGGATCGACAAGTCAATCTAGGTTGAGTATTTCAACGGCCCAAATAATCCATTCATCTTTAAATGCATAGAAAGCTACAATTTTCAATTGAGGATTATGCCTTACCCATGCTAAGTCCACATATACCCATCTTTCCAAAACCCGCTTCACAGTCCAGCCAATGTAAAAGACTTCGGGCTTCTTCAATAGTGGCTCGTCCTAGTAGCAGCAGGTCACTAACACATAAGAGCTTTGACCCACGCTGCAGCAATGGACGTCTTTTTCCATAGAAAGGGCTGCAGAACATTGAAGGGCCATCAGAACAAGAGGAACTCTATACTCAAAGAACAAAAAAGAAAAAGAAAGAAAACTAAGACATTACTCAGTGAAATTAATTGTTACCTCTCAAGCACCATAGTTGCTATATTTTCCTTCAGCAATGGACCGCCAAGACGCAATCTTCGCTCAAAACTATGATCTCCAGTACCTGCAGAAGGAAAACTTAAAAATAAGAACTCAACATTGTAAAATGTGAAGGCGGAGTTGGGTAGGAGAGTGATATCATCATAAATGCATTTAGAACAGTTCTGAATATGTAAGACAAAGGTAAACACTTTGTTCATTTCTTCTCTTTTTCTTATTTAAATTAAATAATTTTTGCATAGTTGTGATTCATCTGTTTGCCAGCAGCTTTTGCTTCTCTTTGAAATGCATCTAACCAGTCGATGATAAAGAAAGGAGTATTATTACATTCTAGTAGGACTATATCACTATATTATGACAAAGAAAAGGACAAAAGTAATTTCTTTAACTGAAAATTGTTTTAGAAAACTATGTCAAGTTTTGCCTCACCACACAAGGGTTTGTTTAAATCTCAAAAGATGGCAGTTCTTGTATCTGTACAAAAAGCTGGTATTATTTAGAAAATGATTGCGGTTAACTTCTTTAGAGATAAATATATGCATTAAGACCGTAAACATCCGATCAACATATTTTCTCTATGAACTCCAAATACAATTATTGAGATCGATATTAAACCATGAGAAGATTATTCCCGTTCACAGTAGATCTAGGACAAGGACTACATTTTACTTCTTTTTAACATACTTTTCCTCATCTCATATTAGCTTATAGATGACATGTTCTAAACCCCTTTGGCACAATTTCTAGGCAAAAGAATGACTCTCAACTCGCCAGTACTGTACTGCCCATTTTTCAAAAGGATTGCAACCCAAAGGTGCCAAGGTAATTAATAAATATTGTAAACATATAAAACTTCACATATCAACATGATACTGATACATATAAGAAAAAGTTGTGTTACTAAGCACCCATAAGGACCATTAAGAAAATGTTAAGTAGCGTGCAAACTAGTGGCAGAAGAGTTGGATATGACACGTGTTATGGGTATAAGCTAGGCGTGACCTACTGAAGTCTAAACAGGTATCATGATCCTCAATGACCATAGTTCACCAGCTCCTGATCATTCTTATGCCGGCCCACAATAGTTGCAGCTTTCAATCACAAGTAGACCCTCGGAAAGGATGGTGGCTAACAATTACATTGGCAGTTTTCTTGTCATCCATGGGCAGATGAACTTAATAAAAAAAAATGTTCTCTCAAAGTTTTGTCGTCTAAAGACCAGGATTGAAAGACACAACCGCCAAAAGTAGAAAACAAGAGAAAAGAAAAGGCAAGAATTTATCTCGTTAATCCACCTTAAAAAATTTTGTCTTCAACCAGGTTGATGATTATGAACATCACCGGTCATCCCCTCAAATATTACACACTTTAACTTGAATATATATTAGACGACACTGAAACACCTAGCTTCCCTCGTTTAGGGGCAGCCCGGTGCACTAAGCTCCCACTATGTACGGGGTCGGGAAGGGTCGGACCACAAGGGTCTATTGTATAGAGTCTAACCATGCATTTCTGCAAGAGACTGTTTCCACGGGTCAAACCCGTGACCTCCTGGTCACAGGGCAACAACTTTACCAGTTACGCCAAAGCTCCCCTTCCTAGCTTCCCTCATATAAATAGCACAAATAGATAGAAAACCGAAATCAAACTGCTCCTCCCTACTATTTGAGTATCAATCTACTACAGAACCCAACTCTAAAGATCAGCATTAATCTCAAAACCTGCAGCTAGACTAGTCTAACAGGCAGTAACAGCAAGTAGTATATCAATTAATCGATCAAATACACCTCAATCCCAAACTAGTTGGCATCCGCAACAGCAAGCACATAATACATAAAATCTAAAAAGCTTAAAGACAACAAGATTGAAACTAAATAAGGGAAGATGCCAGAAAAGGAATAGCATATGCATATTACCAGCAAGATGAACAACACAGGCCATCTTATGAGGCGGCGTCGATTTGGGGGAAAGGAAAGCAACCCTTGCCATATGACTCTCAGGAGGCAATGCACTAAGCAGCTGCTCATCACAAGGAGTTCTAAAAATCCCTTCTCTCAAAGTAGCTGATTGAGATTCCCAAACAGTTTTCCAAACAGGTTGCACCAATGTAGGAGGCCAATTCTGTCCTTCAACTTCAGGGAATAATTGCTTAATCATTCTCTCTAACAGCACAAGCTTCGTACCTCCCCATCCTCTAGAAAAGAATGGTGGGCTTATTTTTGTTCTATGCAATAACGCACCATACACATGGTCCAATACATAATGGAGCATTCCAAGATTCACTGTCACCATCTTTTTATTTTCCTTCTAAAAAATACACAATTTTTCTAATCAATCTGAGCCAAACCCAGATTAGAAAACACAGATTTCAGCTAAAAGGTATCAATTCTATAGAGCTTTATAAATCGAATTACGTGTTCTTTGCACAATAATTAAAATCCACAGTAAGCCCTATATCCCAATGAGATCCAAACTCCAGGAAAAATGTAATTTCACCTAAGAGAGATGCGTGTAAAAGAAAAACTCATAGGTGAAAAGCTAAAAGAATGAACCATTGAACCAATTAACATTGCGATAGAGATAAAACGAAAATTATAGAGGGAAGAAAAGGCTATGTCAGGGGAAATTCAAGAACGGTGATAAGAGAAAAACAGAGAAAGAGCATTGGGATTTCTGGAAGGAGAAGAAGAAAAACTATGGGCGGAGAAGAAAACGGTGTGACTTTGAAATTTTGGATTACTTTAATGTACTGAAGAAGGCCCCCATATTGCCACCTTAGAGGATCCCATAACATTGGAATTTTGCATTTTTACTCCCCAAAATAGGGACATATTCTCATTTTGGTTCTTATAATATTTGATTAATCATGATTAACTTTTAATTAATTAATATGTGCACTTTTGATCCTTCTACTCGTCAATTTTATTTAACGAATCACTAACTTGCCAAGAAAATTTGTTATTTCTTTAGTATCCACATAGATTTTAGGGAAAATATTATTTTCCACTATTATTTTCAATCTCCGCAGTAGTCTTCCGTATATACTTCAAACCTTAGAGTTTTCTAACAAAGAACCGTTTGTATTGAGATTAAAGCTCCCTTTGATATTTACAATGCATACTCTCCTCTTTTTTTTCGGTTTCCCACCCAATGTTCGGTACCCGCATTGAAGCCCGACTATATCCGAAGGATTTTTCCATACCCAGGCTCGAACTCGAGACCTCTGGTTAAGGAAGGAACAGTCTCATCCACTACACCACATCCTTTGGTGGTGCATACTCTCCTATGCTTATTGCTAGCTAGTAAAAAATATTCTGTAGTTCTCATAATAGTATTAGTAGCAAAAGGGAAAAGGTTGAATCTGCTAAGCCAACTATTACAAGAACTAAAATCAGGATTTAACAATAACTAAGGGATCAAAAGTGCAATTATCAGTTTTTTCTTGTTTTGTGCAATGAGGTTGACTATGGGCCAAAGAAAGAAAGTGGAGGATAAGATCTGAGCTGTTCAACCCCTTAATTATATTTTTTAATTGAAATTGATACCACTTTTTTGGTTAAAATAAAGTTTAGGTATAATTGCCAACCTTAAACAACAAGGATTAATTGCTTATTGAGTTGGTGATTTGGATTTTGGAGTTTAAATTGGGAATTTAATGGAATAATTCTTGATTAATGTACATCTCATCATTTGCTTGAAAACACATAAACATTTAGTTCGGGGTACCATTTGATTAAAGTTTAATCTGTGTGTAGTATTTATTTATCTTCTCATTATTATCCCTTGGGAAACTGAATGCAGTTTTTACGGATACTTCTCATAACGTAAAGTTAAAAAAGAAGTATTTTAAAAGATAAAGGAGGCATAGCTATCAGACATTTTAAAATAATTTTAACTATTAAAAAATAATATAGAAGCATAATTCTTAGAACTTTTATTTAAACTAGAATTAGAACCCCCACGATATGTAAATAATATTAAGAAATATTAATCATAATAAATTGTGATCTAGCTTATTTGAACACATTAGATCATATTATTTTAACGAAATCCTAATTGAATTTTGTTTCTTAATGCAATGTGCTCAATAAGAAAAACTTATGAAATTAAAGGAAACAAATCACAATCATCTAATAATTTTGGATGAAACTTAAATTTCACAATTAAATAATTTTAATACAAACAACCTGAAAATAAAATATGATTCAAAAAAATAAGAATACTTTATAATTTATTTTTTTAAGTAAATATATTTTATTTACCAAGTAATCTGTACAATGCATAACAAAAGAACAACATAACCTGGACAAAGGCCCAAGGTCTGCCACTCCCTCTCTACCATCTTCTATGTCAAATTTATCATATAACAGTATACATTCTAATTTCAATTGTTATTTGTTCATCATCATCATGAAAATCTTTATTTTTTTTCTACTTGTTACTCTGAAATATCATAAAATTATTCATTTATAAGCACCACTACTAGAAATTCGGAAAAAAACGACCACAAAAAACAACCAGTGTTGGTCGCTTATTGGCCAAAAAGCGATCAAACGTGCCCGGTCGATATTAAGCTGGTCCCTTTACCTTAGGGACCAAAGTTGGACTTTGGTCTCTAAAGTCAAAGGACCAAATATTCCGGTAAAGACACTGGCGACCAACTTTGGTCGCTATATTATTTTAATATTATAAATTTTGCGACCAAAGTTGGTCACATTTCTGTAAATTTCATTTTTTTTTATTTATTATTAATTATAAAGTAGCGACCAACTTTGGTCTGCATACGAAATATTATATTTTAAAATCTGGAAAATTGCGACCAAAGTTGGTCGCTATACTATAAATTTTTTAATTATTTTTTTTAATAAGCGACCAAAGTTGGTCGCTAAATACATGAATTAATTTTTTTATTTATTAATAAGCGACCAACCCTGGTCGCCATATTTCCAGAAATTGTTAATTTTCTGGTAAATAGCGATCAATCTTGGTCGCTTTTTGGGAAATCTGGGTTAAATAGCGACCAACCTTGGTCGCTATGTTGGTCGCTATTTCACAAAAAATTGTTTTTTTTTTAATAGAAAGCGACCAAATAGCGACCAAAGTTGGTCGCTTTTCTTGGTATATTGCTGGCAGGAACTGCCTCTTTTGGCAGCTACACCACCTGCCAGCTTACCAAAATTCCTAAATAGGCAAATATGCCAACAACAAGCAACAACAACAACAAGCAACAACAACAACAACAACAACAACAATTATAACGAACAAAGTATAAAGTTCAATAGAACTTTATACTTTAAGCTAATTAGCAAACTAATAAGTTAATGTTATTACAGAACCATTCGAAAACCAATTGTATTTGTCTAGCATAAACTAATAAGTTCAAAGTTTGTTCTCTACATCATTATCATCACCGTGTGATGAACTTTCTTCACCATGACGGTATCTAGAATGGGCTATTTGTCGATGATGGGAAGAATGACCACGGGGAGGACGGGAGGAATGAGCATGGGGAAGGCGAGCCTCTGGCGATGACTCACGAGACCGGGGAATTGGAAAATTGCCAGAAGCTAGGAGAGTTTTGATCTGCTCTTGCATGCCCTTGCACTGAGCTTGCATGCCAGAGTACTGCATATCTCTAAGCCTTTCTCTCTCCTTGGCGGCTTCTAGCTCGGATGTGAGCTTTGCCACAGTCTCCCGCATAGAAGAGAGGCTCTCCCCATCAAGTTGCTCGGCTTGGGAGGAAGTCCCTATTCCTTGCATTCCACACTTATAGCGATGGAATTTCTTATTAGGAAGCCCGTATACCTTTCCCCCCTTTTGGACCGCCAGCAGCCTGCGTCCACATTCTCTCAGCATCCTCGTCCGATAGTTGGATTGGCGCGCCAGACTCATTAGGTGGCTGACTGCGTATGAATTGCTCCACTTCAGCTGTGAAACGACCCTATAAGAAAAATAACATTGAATTACTATTTCAAAATTTATATAAAAGTAAATCAAAATTCTTAATGAAAAGTGAAAACTTACATGTACAGTCGAGGCTCGGCCCTCGACCCACCTTTCTTGGTCCGTCTCTTTCTTCTTCTTCACAATATGAGTCTCCTTGAAGAGCTCATCTTGGTTCATCGGACGCCCCAACTTTTTTTCCTGAAAACTCATAAATTTTAGTTAATAAACAGAATACATATACTAAGAAAATTAAAGTAAATTAAGCAATTACGTACCATTCTTCGTTTTATCGTCCCTAGGCTGACCGCACCTCCAGTGTGCAAGGATCCTCCCTTCTCAGATGCCCGGGCTTTCTTTCCTTTTTCGCTCTTCTCTAAGAACTCTGCTGTAAGCCATTGCCTTTGCAAATCATCCCATAAATCCTGAAGCATCCAGCCAGGCTTCTGGTTCAACTGCCTAGCTTTGGAGAAACAATGGGACAACCGCTTTCGAGCTTTGAGATGGAAGTTTGCAGCCACTTCCGCGCTATAGCGGTGTTCCCATACACACTTGCTCTGTATTTCAAAAGTCAAGTATTATATGGAAATATCATATTTAGATGGAAATATCATAAAATCTATATTCGATATATTATACTTAGCTTTTATTAGCTAATAATTATTCAAAAGTTAAGTGCATTAACTGCTTATAATATAATATTAGCTAAAAGCTAATAAATGATTATACTGCTTCAAAGAATATTTATACCTTAAATTGATTGAAGATTGCCTCCTTGAGAGCGAATGGGAATTCACTCCAAGTCGCATAAGGACCATCATAAAGCTTTCTGGTGGCTTTGGTGATGATCCTTGTAGTAACATTACTAGGGATGAACCTGCAATTTTATTAAAAAAAACACATTAATATCTTAGTAAAACTGTACTAAACAAAAAAAGTTAAAATAACAAATAACTCTTACCCGTCACCCTCAGGGACTATGATGATCCTGCCATATTCATCATAATGCACCTCCTCGTCATTAGCAGCATCATTGTCCGAAGCATGTACATCGGAGACATGTGTGGAAGGTGTAGGGGGGTCAGAGCTAGTATCTCGCAGGCGAAGGCCTGCAATAGATGGATTCCCAGATGAACATGGCTGCGAGCCCTGGGACTGCGAGCTATGTGAGTGCGACACAGCTGTATGGGCCGCAAGTGGATAAGACACAGATAGCTGTGACCCGAGTGGCTGTGACACGGATGGCTGTGATCCATGTGGATGTGACATGGATCGATGCGATCCATGAGTTGTTGATGGATGCGATCTATGTGGATGTGAGACAGGTGGAATGTATGTAGGTCGTACAGTCCTATGGCCCTGTGAAGAAAGACCTGGCGTCTGCACGAAGGTGTAGGGCTGGACATGCGCTGGCAGCTCGGAATAGCCCTAGGGTGGAGGCACAGGCACAGGCATCTGTGAAGAGGCAGGAACGGATTGAGTAGTACCTTCTACCCTCCTCTTTTGTTTCCTAGGCTTTTCTCTACCCCGAGAACCAGTAGGATCACTGTTACCTCGACCCTTGCCTGACATCTGCATGACATAATACAAAGTTAGATTGAAACATATAAAGAAACTAGCTATAACATGAGTTATTAAAGAAACCAACTTTTTAAAGCTGATCGACGTATAGTTCCTCCTCCGAGAATTCTTCTCCTCACTAGTTTGAGCTTCATCAGTTGATTCTTCTTCCTCGTTTTCTATAATTCTTACTTCATCCATATCAACTTCTTCCAATATGTGTTCAGGATGTTCCAAAGCATTTTCTAAAACTTCGTCCGCTATTTGGTGAACACTGGAGATATCGTTTTGATATGCAACATCTAACACATTCTCGACTTCTACCCTACCTACAGGCTTAGTTTATATTACAACCCACCAATCAGCCTTATTTCGCCGCAATGGATAAGGAGCATAATACACTTGCCTAACATTATGTGCAATTATGAAAGAATCATAGCGATCATACTCTCTCGTATGATTAACCTCAATTATGTTGTATTGATTGTGTACTCTTGTACCTCTTGTTGGATGTGGGTCAAACCACTTGCATCTAAAGAGTATCAATTTCTTATTTGTCCAACCTGTATATTCTAGTTCTATTATTTCTTTGAGCTCACCATAATAATCAATATCTCCATCTTGGTTGCCATCACCACCTTGAACCCACACCCCACTGTTGTTGCTATTTTAATTTTTAGAGCAATCCTCTGTATGAAACTTATAACCATTCACAACGTACTTAGACATGGTTGTGACCTCAGCCCCAGGTCCCCAAGATACATCTTTCAAAAATTGATTTACACCATTATTTGGATCATTTACCTACAAATCGTTAAATAAATTCATAAGTTAGCATTGTGAGCACGTGATTTTTGTCCTAAGCAAATTAATTCCAAAAGTTTCAAATAATTGATTTCTTTATTATTTTATAATTTTTGTGAATTTTTGTTAAATCTTTGTGTTAATTGGTTGCATTTTTATTCATATGAAAATACAAAAAGTATGCATTTGCATCTAGGGATTTAATTTCATAATTTTAGGATTAATTAGGTATTAATTAGTTTTAGAACAAAATTTAAAGAAAATTGCAAAAAAATAGTTTCTTTGCATTTTTTTTAATTTAATTGTTGCATTTATCTTTAAATAGAGTTTTAAATAATTTTAGGAGTTGAATAGTTTAATTAGGTCTTTGTTTTGTTTTAGCATTTTATAAAATCGAAAAAAAAATAAAATAATAAATAAATACAAAAGGAAACAAAAGAAAAGAGTAAAAATAAAATAAAAGAATGGTCTTGATAAAAGACCAAATTTTGGGGCCAAAATCTAATTTTAAGCCCAAAAGTCACTAAAATTCCACAGCCCCAAGCCAAACCCCAAAGAACCAGCCCAATCTTGCCCAAAACTAGCCCAATTGCCCGGTCCAAACCCCACGTCTTTGAAGTTCTCGAAACGACGTAGTATAGGGGGAAACTACGTCGTTTTGAGTTAATTTGTGACCAGTTAATCTTGGCCCTTCGTTTACCTCATCCAAAGGCTTCAATCACTTCCCCCCATTTAATTAAACGTGTCCGAATGGCATAGTATTAACCTAGTACCCCCAGTGTTATGTCGTCTCCTTCACTTTCATATCTTACCACCGCCGCCGCCACCGGAAATCGCCATGCGGCGGTGTTTGATCTCCAAACCTTGCCAAAATCGCAACAGATACTCTCCTCAATCCCCTCTTCACAAATATCCACTTCTTACACCTCAAATCCAACTAGAATTCCACTAATTCCAGATCAGAAATCCCAAACCCTAGCGCCGCCCACTTTCTCCGGTGGCGGCGCTGACCCCAAAACCACCAAAATGATACCCCAGAGTCTCCTTGACCCTTTCTTCCCTAGCCTGCGTCCCTTTTTCCTTCAAATTTTACCAGAGCATCTCAAGACTTAAACCCGAGATTGACCCTTCAAAAGATCCAAGTCAGGTTCCATCAGGTCAGGTTTATAGCTTCGAAGCTGGGACTCGACAAAATTAACGTCGGCAGAAGATTGACATTAGCCGGGTCTCCTGCAAGGTCTTAAGCTCTGATGTGGTAGGTTTTCTTCCTCTCCTGTATATTCCTTTCTTTGATTGTTCCATCATCCTCCTCGTTACTTCTTTAACCTAATTGTTTAAATTCATTCATGTTGAAACCCGTTTAGTTCAACTTATTCTTCATCCATTCTAGTTTCTTCTTCTTTGTGAGAATTTGATTTTCAGACGTCATAATTCACTGTCTCTCTTCTGTTTGTTCTTCTATTTAAGTCACCTGTTTAATTAGGCCCACAATTTAGTTGATTGCATATTAATTAGTTCATTTGTTTTTGTTATGTTAACTGCATCTTTTGGGGGTTTTGGGCCCTTTTTTTTTCTTGTGGAATTCTTGGGTCAGTCTTAGTTTAAGATTCTCTGTCCATCTTTAATTGGCTTCTGAGAATCGAAAGCCCAAGCAGAAGTTAATTTGGGCTTATTGACCCATTGGTTTGGGTCAGTTGACCCGGGCTTGTGTGGTAGGTAATTTTCAGGGGGTCTTAAGGGTGTATTAGGTAGTTTAAGTTAGGAAATTTTGTAGTAACTGAAATAGAAGCCCCTAGAAGCTTCTAGCGTGGGGTTTGAATGTCAATTTCTGGTTTTTGGGTAGTATAACTTGAGTGACAAGCCAAGATTTTAGGGACTTTTAAGCAAAAGCTAAATTAAAAAGGACCTAAAGGGGGCAAAAAAATAAATGTGCAAGGATGCCCTAATGGCTTGCCTATAAAGGCATGCTATTCTTGCCTTGCAAAGGGGGAGAGGTTCGGAGATCTGAAAATTCTA